GTGTGTGTGTGTGTGTGTGTGTGTGTGTGTGTGTGCGCACGCGTGCGTACGGCGTCTTGTGTGTCATTGAAAGCAGCGAAACAATATAGTAGCAATATTACGTTAGTTGGAAAGAAACATTTTAATACTACACTGTAAAAAATGATCGTGATTTTAACGGTAAAAGACTGTAAAAATGCCACAAAAAAAACTTGTTAAATGATTAACAGTAAGTTTCCTTACTATATTCACCTTATTTCGCCCCACCCACTTTTAATACTTCGCTCTTCCGCATTTTGTCATCCGACTTCCGCTAAACTGATACGGCACATCCGGTAACTAGTTCAGTAGTTGTAAGATTGTTTATAGCTAGCTATAACTGTGGCGAAATGAAAAAGAACGTTAATGCCGTAAATTTTATAAATTGGGAGCACGGTGAAAACTGCTGACCTGATGACCATCTGCAGACTAAGTATCTTGTCTAATCTCTTAATTGTACAGTGGAGTAAGGTAAGTTAATATTTCTAAATTACATATTATAAAAAGAGGAGGCTGGAGCTTGGAAGGGGAAAACGCTGTATATTCAGGTGTGCATACTTATTAGGCAGATTTTCTTTTACAGATAAAATGAGCCAGCAAAGATTATATATCACTTATAAAAGATTAAATACAAAAATAATAGTTATTAAGATTGATGTGGTTTGGAATTGGTAAAATATACTTGGGGGAAAAAAATATGAACAGAAAATTAACTTGCCTAGTAATTATGCACACAGTGTACATCTAGCTGACAAAGGTTGTTTTTTCTCAGCAGAGTTATGTACAATGGCACCGGCTCAATGTATTGTGTTCCCATATCAGATGTAGGGTTCTTCAGGTTGAGTTGTCATTTTGAACTGTAGTTGTAGTCAGAGACAGATGGATCCTCCCATTGTGTTTCTGCATCACAGTTCAGGGGCATGTGGATGTGGTCACCCTCACAGTTGTCCACTGCATCACTGGTGGTCATCGATACATCTGTGGAAATAATATTAAACATTTTTACATTAACACTTAAAATACATCATTACATCATACATACAATTAATATATGATGGGACCCATACTTAGAACGATATCTGTGTGAGAGAGAGATGCATTAAAAACAAAACAGTATACACACTCTAACTGTAGTGTTAAAACGTAGATCAATATCTGAATGAGAAATGTAGCTAGCTGGCCTGCTATCATCTGCAATCTCTGTAATTTACAGGAATAATGTGAGCTACTGTAATGTACCATAATATCTTGTACTATCATAAATATGAAATACATAGGTGGGCAATGGTAATCATGCAAAATTCGTTGTACTTTGTTAACTGCTCGTTGCTGATCTTAAATGTATTCACAGAACAGACTTCATAAATCTAACGTTAGGCGAACAAGCACATAGCTAGCTAAGTTAAGGTTAGCTTACCTGAATCTGACAACGTTTTCAGCACCCGGCGTGACTTCTTTACTGGAACATCGTAGCCGAGCCATTTCTCGGGGTAAGTCCCGAACAGCCATTTCTGTTCGTCAGTCGGCTTCTCATCCATGAAATGGTACGAACACACATAAGGGTGCTTCAAATTTAGCGCCTTCAGCCATTGCCTCAGGTGCTCCTCTCCTTTAGATGGCGGGTGTAAATTGTAAAGTGCACCACAACACCCTGACCGCTTCACATTGTGTTCGTAACATCATTGGTGCAATTGT